AATAAAATTTGTTAAGAATAAATTGTCAGTAGTTTCAGTGCGGTCAGAGTTGGATTAAGATTTCTGAGGTCCGGTGCTATCGAACCACATTTAAGAGTCACATTTAATCGTAAAGAAAAAGGTGAACGGTAAAAAAATTTCATTCAATGTTTTTTGAGGCTTTTTGAAAATTGAGAATCGGGGCTATAGCCCCCCTTGGACCTCCCCTTAATCCGGCACTGAGTGTGACAGTCAACTTGTTAATACGTTGATTACCGTGGAGTCATCTATGACCCATACGACCAGGGGCGAACTGTGACTGAAATTTTTTAGGAGATTAGTGACACCACGGGTCCTAATTGTAATTAATTAGACTCCAAATCTCTATCGGCCTACCAGGAATTTTCCCAAATTTTCAATAGTCAGTCCACTCCTGCATATAACCACTTTTTGATGATCGGGGTCAGCGTGCACCCGAAACGTATCGTAATAGAAGCTTAGAGCTTTTAACAACGGACCTGGACGAAAGAACCACATCACACGCGATCTAACGTATACACACATACACGTGAAAAAGACGTTCAGGATAAAATCATAGCGGCTTTTTTTTTCTTTAAGCGTCATGATCGATCCCGGCTAAAAATATTTGCCCGTCGCTTTACGAGGAAGACGAACAGAAAATTCCGCGAAATAAAATGAGGAAAAAAAAAATGAAAATTCCGGGAAAGAAGAAGATACCAGAGCTCTGTTGTTTGTTTGTTCTTTTTTTTTTAATCAATTTTATTGGAATTATTAACAATGCGACGGGTGACGGTACCCTGTCTGTCTTTCATAAATGAAATTCTTGAATCGTTTACTTTTAAAGGGTTGATTTTGTCGCAGCTGTTTGTCTTCGGTTGTGTAACACAGACAAAAATGTGGTTAGATTAGAATTGGAGAAAAAATGGATTTCAAATGATCACAAATATTTTTGCTTTCATAATTATTGTGCTATTTTAGATAGAAAGTGATATAATTTTCTGAGGGTTTTGTTATTTCTAAATATGAGTAAAAAAATGAGTATTAGTGTTTCTTATTTAAATCATTGAATTTAATATGTATCCAGCACCGGTTGTTTCAGTGTTAATAAATACTTGAACAGCCACAGTTTAAATTAAACATTCTGTAAAATCCAACATAGTACATAAAATAATAATAATCCTTAACAAAATCAAGTAACAGTGTCCCAAATAAAAAATGATCCATAAATAACCACGTATCCATTCTTCCTCCAGATTCAATATACCTGCATATTACATTCACACGTGGATACATTTCTTATTGATTAAATCAGTGAGTGAGGGATCGTTTCGAGTATAAATTCGTCGAGACATCGAAGCCGGTTCGATTAGAAAAATGTTCGTTGTCGCGGGCTGTTGACGATTCGTTACGTTGATTTCTCGGTGGAATAAACAATTCATCGATGTTTTTCGGAACAGCAAAATAACGATACCGTGACTCGTCGAACTGATAAATAACTCACATGACAATGCTGCTCCACCGTGGTAAACAATTAACGCGGTACACGTGGCAACAATCATTAAACTTTGTCGAACAATCGTCGAACACGAAGCGGTCGGTTCAACGTAGAAATCCGTATAGCTTCTTTGCGTCTCATTTTTTTTTAGCCGGGGTGCTTTATTTTTAATTTTTTTTTGTTTTTTTGTTTTTTTTTTTGGTTTTTCTTCTTTTACATAGCTAACGATTTTAAACTATAACATAGTCAAAAGTTCTCTTTGATTCAGTTCTATATAATTAAGACATCGTAACATCAGAGAACATCGTCGAACCGTTCCCACGTTATTTCAAACGCGTTCAGCTTTCAAAAGATAATCGTTCCTCGAGTTATTGTTTGATTGATTCCTCATTGATTGTTTGATTCTCGTCTGATTGCGTTTGAGAGAATATCGAGAGAACGTTCGACGCGTCAGCAGAGCACCTCCGGGCACCTTGACACCTTTAACTTATACACCATGGTATATCAAAATGGCACGATTAATTAGCGTCGCGCATCTAATTGGTAATCCCCCCCCACCCGCACACGCGGGATTCGACCACTTACGAATTGTATTTATCAGAAGAGCCTTACAGTTTAGTAAAACACGAAGTCTAGAGTAAAAAATAGAGTAGAAGCTGAGAGTTTCTAGACACCGATTTTGCGTATGGATTTCTCTTTAAAGGGTTTAACGTTCACCATCCAAGAAAGAAATCTCAGGATATGCCCACGCGTTCGCGTGAGCGTCGCTTTCCAGCGTAGCGGGAACAATTTTTCCCATGCTTTTCTTTCTCCCTCTTTCTCTTTCCTTCCTTTCCATCGCCCTTATAAATATGAGTAATAAACTAAGAAGGCATAAAATTTTTATCAAGGTATCGCTTGAAAACTAAAAGCGTTATTCATTATACAACAACAATTGTACATATATTGTAAATATCGCTTTTCAGTGCAGCGATTATGAAACATTATGTACAGTGTACAGCATCGAGCATGGTACGCTTTTTCAGGGAAAATGGCAATGTCCCCTTCCTCATAGGCTCCCACGGGTTACCGGATTCCCAGTTCTCTTCGTAGACTTCTCCTTTCAGGCCTCCCATTCGTCCCCGCCACTGGTCCCGAGGAAAATGGCGTAAAGGAGGAGGTCCCATATACAAGGTGTCTTTTTTAATATTAATATCGTCAAAATTAGGGTTTTGGGAATTCTTGCTTCCCCTATATCGCTATTTTCTCTCGGAAAGCCGCTTTTCCTCGATGTTGTACAACAATTGTACAAATATTCACGCCACAAAAACGTTACCATTAAAATATCACCATTTTCCCTCAGGAAGCCTGTTTTGCTCGATGCTGTACAACAACTGTACAAATATTCACGCCATAGAAACGTGACCATTAAAATAAGCCGACTCCGAGCGAGTTACATAAAAGCTGCAGATCTGTACGCAGTACTCGTAACTGCGCTACGCGAACAGTTCGTTTCTCTATACTCTATAGAATGGCTGGTTATAAACGTACCAAGCGTTTTATTTATAGCTCTGCTTTCTCTCCTCCCACGGGAAACGGTTTTCGCCAACTTTTTTCCCCGCTGTGTTTCTTGTCGACTGAACTTCGTTTGAATAAGAAGTTGGAGCGAATTTTAAATTAAATTTTTTTCACCGCGAGTTTCATCGAAATTTATGAAATAACAGCGGCATCGATTAAACGTTCACGAAGTTACTTTTATTATGATTTCGTTTCTTTGTTGGACAAGTCACCGCTTTTGTTGGCTCTTTTTTAAGATACAATATCGTTGCTCGATATTGTTGAAAGTTTAAGGAATCGTTCTGAAAAAAAGTTGGGATAAAATCTGGTATCATTGTTTTTTCTTTTTATATATTATCATTTATGACATTTAAAATGCTACTTTTTAACTTTCAAGCATAAGAAAAACACGTTTCTGAATTCAAATTTCTTTCGAATGAAAAGTTTGTTTATTTGAAGAGAAGCGAAAGAGAAAGAGAGAGGAGAAGTGATCGATCGCGTCGGCATAGAGAAGGAAGCGCGTTAAAAAAAGCGTAGAACGATCGCGATCGGATCCTCTTATCCGCGATCGTTCGCATGGGCGATCTACGGGCGCGCAGATCGACACGGCGTCGCATCTCGTAGAGGCATCTCCGTTAATTGACCTAGTGTTCTCTTGTGTATTTTTGTGTTTCAAGCTCAGGTGTCAGCTTTCCTTCTCGTTCGATTGCTAGAACGAAACCCTCTGTTCGTATCCGAATCGAGCTATTGTACAATGAACCGCTCGTTTCCGTACGCGATTCGCTACGATACTTATTTGAGCGTGATCTTACCACGTAGATATTATATAGGCAACGATTAGTTTCGTGTACGCTCTCGTAAAATTGAGGAGACAGAGAGGAACCACCTAGGAACCATCCCTATGGTTTCAGTGAGATCCTCGAGAGCGTCCAGTATTATTTGACGAAGAGGAAAAAGCAAAAAAAATAGGAGAAGAATAAGAAGAAGAAATGAAAAATACAGAGCTTTGTCATGATTCCGATTTTTCGATTCACCTTATTCTCATCGCGAGAATCGTTTACTTTCTTCGATCGCCTTCAAGACTGAGCTTCGATTCTCTCTTATTTCGTCCGTTCACATTTCGTACGCGTTTGATAATAATAGACTGCGGTAGACACGTGTAAGATAATAATCGACTATAGTTAAATTGAAATCGTATAGAAAAAGGAATGCTCTTACACTTACGCGTTTAGGTGATTCGAATACGTTTAAAGAAGCGGACGACGTGCCTCGATCAGGTACGTCATTATCTATGTGTATGTCTTTTTTAAGCTTCGTTTTTCCTCTCCCGACTTTGTCCAAGCTTTGTTGATTACGCGCGACAGGTTGCGAAATAATACGCAGGCTCGAACTCGCCTAGAAGTAGAATCGAGGATGATCTTCGCAAAAATCTTAGTCTTCGAAGTTTCGGTTTATTATCGTGGCGTTCGATTGCTCGTTGATTTAGGAGAATACTTTTATTGTACTCGGCCGATCGGTCTCGCTCGGCTAGGAATTCGTCTCCCGTCGCTCTTTGAAAAAAAAAAAAAAAAAAAAAAAAAATCAGAAAAAGAAACACCTTTATTCATCGCGTAAAACGGCGACTAATCGTAAGATATTCGAAGCGGCTAAGAAAGTCGCTTGTTTCGGAAAAGGATAATCTTCTGAGCCAACTCGTACGGTGGCGCTACGTTTTCTTTCATATATTCGTTTCCCTTCAAAAATTCTCACCGTTCCTCGCCGGTGTTCGTCGTAGCGCCTTTCGGAACGAAGAATCTCAGTCTCGATCCCGGTCCTCGAAGAAGACTCCGAGAGGAAGGGTGGCGGCGGATGCGAGAACGACCTCGTACCGAGGATACGAAAAGCGATGCTCTAGGAATGAGGCGCGTATAGAAGGGGTCGCGCGCAAAGAAAATCGTCTCCGTCTTCTTCTCGTAGGCGTTTTGGCTTTTTAATCGTCATCGTCGAGGCCGAGCAGCTCCGGCGGAAGTCGTCTGTGCCGGCAGCACAGCGTCAGACATAGGACGCGGGCTGCCAGACGAAATTGAGGGCTCAGGGTTCCCAGGACCACCGCTTTCCAAAAACTGTTCGTTATCCCTAACCACACCACCGCAAAGTGCAGAAACGGTACCTGTACTTTTCAATAATAATTACGTTAATAACCGGTTGAAAGAGCTTTTGGAAATATCGGAATTACCTGAGGTGGTCCGTTAACGACAGCGTATATCCGTAGACCGGCATACGGCGCCCAGGACATCCAGAAAGTCATCACTAGGACAAAGGACATGATGTGACTCGGATTGCTCAAGTTCTCCGATAACGCGGTCGCGTACTCCTTGTCGTGAATCAGTACGCCGGATCGCAGCCGTCTCATCATCGTGAAGATGTAGCTGTAGGTGTAGATGATTGTGATGACCGATGGGCCTAGCACGAGGATCGACAGCGTGATGGTGTACGCGGCCATGTTGCCCCAATCGAGCATGCAGATGAACGCCTCGCGATCGAAGATCGGCTTTTGGAAACCTAGCAATGGTGGGCAGCACATCATCGCCACGCTGATCCACGTAAACACCATCCAACATTGGCATCGGGTTTTCGTTTGCACGGTCTCGTATCGCAATGGTTTTCTGTTGAATAAAAAAGCAATGCAAATTGCATTTTTTAAATTAATTTTCAAATTAATCGTACGAAGAAATAAGAAAACGTGATTGTTAAGTAAATAAATCTAATCGTAATTTTAAATATACCTGATGGCCAAATAGCGATCCACAGAGATCCACATGAAGGTGTAAACAGATACCGCCCAAAGGGTAACCTCCAAGTAGCCAACGAGACGACACACGATGTCCCCATAGACCCATCTTCGTACTAAAGCCGGATACACCGACAGTGGAACCACCAGCAGACCACAAAGAAGGTCCGCCGACGCGAGAGACAGCAAATAGTAGTTTATCACCTCGGAGGGACCTACGCGGTGCAGACAGTAATTTGTATTTACATCGAGGCTACTTAACCGTTGTATTTCATTGAATATTACTCTTCTAGTCCTCTTGCAAAGTTACTGGGACAGGAAATTAAAATGGATTTATGACAACGAAATGAACAGGAACTGGTTACAAATCTATCCTCTTTAATTAACACTAGAACTACCAAACCAGTCAAAATAACTGGCTTCAAGTTTCTTACTTTTAATTAGAAATTTTTACGAGATCTATTTGCGAGTATCTATTTAATTTTTTACATTATTTTCAATTTAATTTCTAGCGTTAAAATATCCTATTTGTTATTTTTCACTTTTTATGATATTTAAAAATATTTGCAAACTTTGTTCATATATCAGTACATAACAAAACTCAGTTCAATACATTCGTCTTAAATTGAAATAATTGTGAAATTGATACATCGCGTTGATATGGTCGTTAATATACTCACCACGGAAATTGAGATAGGTGGCGATGATGAGGAGATTCGAGAGGATGATGGCGACACCGACCACGAAGATGAGGCCCGCCTGCATGAGAGCCTCCAGCGAGGGCTCCTCCATGCCGCCACCCTTTCGAGCTGCATCCCCCCCACCCGCCCTTAGGTGCAGTTACCCGTCACCCCTCGTGAAACACCTTCTGACAGCCAGCTGCTAGGCCCTGCTGGTAGCTCGCACCCGGTCCACCCCTTCCTTCTTCTTCTCCTCGATTACCTGTCCTGCCGGAGGCTGTCAATCCTCCACTAGCAACGTCAAACTTTCTTCCGGAGATGTTTACGCGAACGTACCTTCGATAACGAGATCGTAACTTCGAGGATCTCGATGATGGATCGATACAGCTATGTTGCTGCAAGCAGAGAAGCAAAGCCGCTGACATCTCGTTTAATTTATAGGTGGTGGAACGAGGGTGCATTACGAGGCGTTCAAGTGGCAAAGAGAATGGGGCTATGCGAATGGTGAAATGACCGATGCGAAGAGAATGAGAGTGCCTCGTGGAACGGATGAATGGCGAGCAGAAGAAGCGCGTCGAAGAGGTGACTATTCGATTCGTGACGAGAACAAAAGGAACACGGCGCCATGGCTTTGTGTTGCTTTCCACGATGAAAAGTAAGTACCTACCCCGAGTATCGTATTACGTTTAACACTGATGGGGTAATAAATACAGGGTTTTTCAAATTATTCGATTGAGAAACAGAACAGAAGATTTTTATATTTTTGGTACAACTTTGCAAATATATTTTTTGTTTACGTTTACTTTCTTTCGGGAGTTCTAATTTTCTTTATCAGAGTACAGAGCACATTTGCATATTTTCTTTTGCTATATTTGCAGAAATTTTGTTATTTCTCTGTAGTAGAAAGCAGAATACACGAAAATCTTATTTTGTAAAATTTCTTATCAGTAAAATATCACTGCGACTGTTATCGAATCTGATAATTTAAATGAAAGATTTTGCTAGAGGAGAAGTTATGATATTGGATATCAAGTTTTTCCAACTTAAAGTCCGCAAAAAGTGTAACGTTGATTGGAAGCGATTATAAATATTCCACTCGTTTGAAACGCGATTCCATCGAGAATCTCGAGTGTGGAACACTCAATAAAAAACAAAAAGAAGAACCACCGATGAGTTTAATCAACGACCAGAAAAACTCTTTTCAACCCCCGACGTTTCATCCATATTTTAACGATCCATCCATAATTTCTCGATCAAAGTAGTCACTATTCAATAAGAAAGAAAAGAAACACTATAAATTTAGCAATACAAGTAACTTGAACGGTTAAAAAAGCACCCTTTAATATTACATCAGTATCGACACAAGTGTAATATCAACATCGACCTTCCTATCTTTCTTAACATCATATTTAAATGATGTTCAAGGATGCGGACTAGTCCATCCATACTTCTGTCCATAAACATGGAAACAAGCGTATAAAAATTGTTTACAAACATTTGTTTAAAAACAATTAATGACTCTTATAATTTTCTAATTTTTTTATATCCAAAAATTAAATTGTTATCAAGCAGTATAGGTGGTTATGTTTCGAATTCGCATATTGTAATTAGTACTAATATAAATTTATCTAAATTTGACCAAAAAGGACATAACACAGAAAAAGGACACCTATTTCATTACGTTTGAGAATAAAAATATGAAAGTTTTGAATAAATTAGACAATAGCAGAAATTTATTCATAAATAACAAGGCTATCATAATTTACTTGAAAAATTCATGCTGTGTTCGATTATCATTTCTTCTTAGCTGTGACAGTTTAACCTCTGTACATATTTCATAGGTGTACATAAGCTGAAAGAAATTTGAGGTTGAAGCTAAGAGACGGTCTTTATTTTCTGCACCGTCAATACTATTTCCTTTTTCATGCAGATTCTTTGCATGTAGGCCTTACCCCAGGCCAAGTAAAACTCGCATGGCCAGCACACGCGTCCTCCCTCTAGCTATCGACCGCCATTCATAATTCAGCCGAGTCGATCCTGAATGGAGGGTTACATTATGTAGCATCGCGTAGGCCGTCCACCATCGCCGAATTAAAGTGGAACTTGTGTATTTTATTCGGGACCAGGCGAGACTGGTTGTTTGGTGGCTGGATTTTTCACCGGAAAAAACCTCGACCGCAAAACAAACGGACGGAACTGAGCGGGCGGATGCATTGTTGATCGACGAGAGAGAAACGTGTCAACCTGTTGTTGTTGTTGTTCGTTTTAACGTTCCCTGATTTTTTTCTTTTCAATTTTATGAATATGAGAGGTTCTTAGGTTGAATAAATTTTCTACTAAATGTGAAATAATAATAAATACATAATCGTCGAGAATTGGTTGCACTTTATCAGTTTCTTGCGATTTTATTGGATTAGTAATTTGGAGTATCATTAAAAATATGTTTCTATGCGTTTATTAACTTAGTGTCTCTCTCCATGGTCCGTTGTTCAAGGATTGACTAATGTATAACATCCTTAATTTAATATTGTCGAATAATGAAGGAAAAAGATAAAATTATATTATTTATACAAATTAGTAAGTGGAAAGCTTAATTTGAAGTAATTGCAATTATAACATGTCTATTACACAGATCCATTCCCATCGTGGTAGTAAATGTGTTAAATAAATCTCAATTACGAGCCGCGTCGCGACGCTCTCCATGTGTACAAAGCGTAACAAACGCTCTTCGTTTCGATGAAAAGCACGCGTGCTTACGTGCCATATAAAACCGTTCTAACATATTCACGATTCCCAATGTAGAGATAAACATCGTTAAATTCATTACGACGCGATGACAACGCGGCTATCATTAACCCTTAAGTACCATGGTAGAGAAAAAATAATGCGCAAACAAGTGATGTAGTATTTGATTACTAATTCACATACAAACAAGATAATTGCTCTACATTCTATGGTAATAATTTTCTCTTGCTACATTATATATCAAAACCATGGTAACTAAAGTATAACTTCGTCTCATAAATTACAAATACATGTATAAAGCACATTTGATTCGCAAAGATGGTCTCTAAAAGATTTCAAGCAAGTTTCCATAGAACGTGAAACATTTCATGATGGAGTCAATCAAATCGCTATAAACCTAACTTATCGTAATGTTCACAGTTGTCGTAAACAGAGTATAAAGGGAGTATATCTTCAACGGAAGTTGATGTTCAGATAGATCTGTTTAGAGAACGTTTCTTCTATTGGGTTATCGCGCTTTCTATCAGATTAGCTTCCACCAGGGAACGTAGTGTAATCTACAACTAAGCTAGAACTCGTTAATCGTACCTAGTCTCGTGATCTATGGAACGGTAAGTTCGAAGACACCGTCGGAACGCGTGGAATCAAAGGAATAACTTTTGACAGAGTGAAATAAATGTTAGTTTGCATCGACATGCGACATCAAGCGATGGTCAAGTCGGTTACATAAAAAGAATAGGGCTTAATGAAGCCCTGACCTCGTAGCGTTCGGATTTAGAAATTACGTTAAAGTCTGATCTATTCTGCCGTTTCTACTGTTGCCTTGAAGCAGTCTTATCGTTCCCGGTCTTCGATGGCACGTGATTTCATTGTGAAATTATCCTTGCTTCCCTCTGCAGCATTGTATAATAGAGTGGTCTACACCACATTTTTGGAGGACCGAACCCATTCTATCCCTTGCCTAATTACATCAATTTTGAGGATAACTCTCATAGGAAGGAAAATGTGACATAATAGAAATAATATTCGTTTTTCTCTATTTTTAAATCATTTAACTCCAGAAATTAATAGAATATGAATACAGTAACTACTTCAGCATACAGTATCTTTTTTATTTGCAAATGATAAAGTACACACATCCAATTAAGGAAAAAGGCTGTTGAAACATTTCAAGAGTCATAAACTTAGGACACGTAAACAGACGTTAGTAGTGTTTCTTCAATCAAGCAAATATAGTTTTGTGTGCAAAAATAGAAATAGCGTTTCCACTTCAGCGTTCATCGGACGGAAAAAGAACGAGATTTTTTTAGGTCTATTACTAAGAGTCTTTAAATTGTATCTCAGCCAAGAAAATGTTTCATAACTAACTGGTCAGAAAACGAATTTTCAAATGAAGACAAAATTTGTCATGATTTTTACAAAGTTAATTATTTTTGAGAGTATTATTTAACGTACTCAACAATATTAGAAATTTCCAGGTAATTAAAATATTTTTTTTTCATTTAAAAAAGTCACCAATTAACGAACTCCTTTAGGCAACTGCTTTTGTGATTTACTGTACTTTTTGCTGTTGCAAAAGTTTTGCACCAGTTGTTAACGATATTTGACAGAGATACTACCTTTTCTTATTTGCTGTTAGAATACAGTGCACGCAATTAAAACAAAGGGTTGAAACAAAGAATTTTGTAGTTCCACAGTTTTAGATTTCCCGGGCTAATGAGAGTCTCAATGTAAATGGCGCGGAAGAAAGGACAAGTAACAGTCATCGAGGAACTTGTTAAGCTAAAAGTTACCATTCTTCCAAAAAGTACCATAAACTTTGACGTAGAAAATTTCGCATTAAATAGATCGTCTAATTAAATAATTATGTAATAATTTATCAAAATAAAATTGTTGAAATTAGGACATTTGCAATGATTGACAAGCAATCAAAGACAGAAAAGAAATTTCATTCAATTTTTAATTGTTTACTCCGGAACGATTTTCAATAAAATTTTTTTAACTCGTTGATTATATTTATAGCTTTTTCATGTCATCATGCTTTTATTCAGCTGGTGTTATCTAACGTAAACTTCAATAAAAAAACCTATACTTAAAATAGTTGCACTGGACATTCGTATTGATTTCACGTAACAAAGTAACGAGTGTACTGTACTCTATGCACTTTTGTTAACCGTATTTCACGAATACCACACAATTTTCCTCGATCATTTGTGCTTGCGTGGGATCTAAGAATGGTTGTAATAAAACGATCGGTCGAATAACGAGAACTTGGGAAAATTACACATGCCATTAGGACTAGTTTTTCATTTAGAAGAATATCGACCAAACGTCGACTGGTATCTTTTACAAAGAAATACTTTTACTACGTGTTCGACATACTTGTAAA